GTGAGAGACAAATGTTATAATGAAAAATGTAATTTAATTAACGTTTTATGGTGCAATATTATTCGTATTTAATCCAATTTGGAATTAATTTCATAAATAAATTATTCAAATGTAATTGATTTTAAATATGATTGATTTTATAACGATGCGAATAAGGATTTTATATATTTTATTTCGATCTACCAATTTTTCTTTAAGTCTGATGTTATGATAATGATTATTTTCGGTTTCTACGAAGAAAAATATATAAGGAAACATAGAAATAAAACGATCTCCGAGCAATAGCAAAATCCTCGAAAATTTCTACCCTTCTTTCTCTATCTCTAATTTATAGGGGAGACCGGAGCTAGTTGTCGTACGGGATTGATTGTCAAAATGCTTATAACTCAAATAGGACATGACAGAAAATTCTCTTTTCTCTGCAGCTTGCTGATATAATATTAATTTGTTGTGTAAAATGATTTGCACCACAAGCATTGTATGTACTATTTACTCAGTGAGAGTCGAATCGATGTCGATTCTATTATCATTTCTCACTGGGTTATAGCGATTTTTAAGAAAATGAAGTTGGTGAATAAATTTTTCTTATCATCTATTTTATTGTCAGATATGGTAAGTCTTTAGCATTATTAATCGCGATATCCTTGTATTCATAGAAAATGACATGTCTTAGAAGATCTTTACTACAATTAATTAATTATGATTCTGACAAAGGTTGTGAGTACAATCTCTTTTATTAAAAATGGTTATGTGAGATAAATTGACCAAAATGTGTGTGTGTGTGTGTGTGTGTGTGTGTGTGTGTGTGTGTGTGTGTGTGTGTGTGTGTGTGTGTGTGTGTGTGTGTGTGAGACGAAGTTAGGTAACAATTATAATTTTAATATCTTTAGAGAACACATTTTTAGAGAATATACTTACAAATATATTATATTTCATATGTTTTTTAATTTTTTATATAGAAGAGTATTACAAAAACAAATTATGTATTTTATGATTAAAGTAACTATTTTATTTATATTATTACCGTAATTACTATTATTTTTCAAAATAAGAATAGAATTGACATTAAAATAAAAATTGTATTTTTTATATGTGTTATCCATAACAAATATGCTACTGCCAATCCTAGAACATGTGACAATCAATCCAAAATACGGGATTGATTGTCACATTTTCGCAGCTTCATTTAAAATTAAATAATTTATTTTTACGATATGATGAATTCACGAGTTAATATTCTGTTTAATATACCTAAAGGATGTAAGCAAATATTATAATATAACGTTTATAATACAATATTTCAACAAAATCACTAATCAAAAACTGTGACAACCGGCCCCAGTCTCCCCTATTTTTCAAAAATCCCTTTTAGTTTTACCGTTGAAAAATTTGTATTAAATTTAACACATTTCTTGTGTCCCAAACGGTCCACTCAAATTTATTTTATGTACCACTTATGTATTAATTTAATAAAAGATGAATATGTTAGAAGATAACACAAGTAATTATTTTTAAAGAATAAATAGAAAAAAATTAATATTGACACAGCATGTTTTTTTTTCAGTAAAATTAACATTTATGATATCCGTTTATGATATCCATTCATTTAAATCCGTTAAATTAACACATATTTTATTCATTTATCTTAAGAATTTATCTAATAGAATGTTTGTTTTAAAATACATTATGTTATTTATTCATTTATTCATAAATTGTTATTATTTTGACACTAAAAGGTGCTAAATATCAATTTAAGCCCAACTATTTAAATAATATAATCACGTTATATTAAATTAGTATTTGAATATGTTAAAAATTCAATACAAAATTTTAACGAGGATTTGAATGGACAAACATTTTTAACACAAATAACGAAACGTTTTTTATCATGTATGCGTAATTTTGTCTTTTGATTATTAATTATAATTTGTCTTCTTTTTAACATGTACATTTAAACTTATAATATATATTTCGTGAATAAACAGCAAAATGGTATGACGTAAGATGTTATATCACTTATTAATATTGGCCTTTTGGCTTCCGGCGAGGCAATTGCACGTAATGTTCCCGACGGATCTTTATTACATTTGTCAATAATCGATTAATCAACACATCCTTGCTTCCTGCACTTGATGTACGATCTGGATCAGAAATGGGAAGACGCACCACTCGTGACCGCGCAAAGCTATCGATGTCACGCGATACGCTCGTGATGTCAGCCAACATCAATAAATCGCAGAATATACTTCAATGACGTGCTATTACACCATCGGCTACCGCTCATTTATTTTTACTATCGTAACCGATGATCTTTGACATTTAAGATGAATCAGGACGTTTGAAGATTCGGGTCACATCACTTTAACGATAAACTCGCCTTGCTGTCTCTCTTTGTTGATTGTATTGTCTCTTTATTCGAACCACTTATTATTCTAACTATTATTTGAAAGATTATTATTTTAACAATTGACCTATTTTCTCTTCTTTCCGTGCCAAACCACTTGATATAATTGCGCACTTCTATCGTTACAGTTCGTCTGCATGGGCGGAACACCGAAAAGGATGGAACATTTCGCTAACTACATCATGCAGGAGATAGGTCACAAGCTGCCAGCTGGAACGACCCTCCTCGATATCACCAAAAATTCCTATCGCTATTCAATGTACAAAGTCGGCCCGGTTCTCTCTATCAGCGTAAGTCTTTCATGAGTACCTATGCTTCGAACGTTTCTTCAACGTGGAACATTTTTTCCCTTCGACGATAATTCTATTTGTCGTTAATTATCGAGAAAACGACGAAGTCAAGTATGACGACGGCCAAGTGGTTCTTTAAAGCACCTCATACTATGTTACTGCAATTGGAATGTGGAATAAATTATATACTGAAAACTCTACAGCCGTGTTTCGAGCAAATTTACTTTTGCGTAATTAAGTCGTAGGTACCCGTTTAACAGTGTTAATGAGACGAACGCGTTTACGATACACTTGAAAGTTGTTATCCTTTCAAGTCGTAACTAATTTCGCATAATTCGAATACATTAATCATTTTTTTTTTGTATTAAGATGGAAATTACAATATTAAATAATTTTTATACATATAATAATTGCAATAAACATCGATATTTAAAAAATAATATCAATTTCAAAATTAATTAACTTAATAGGAGTTTTTAGAGATTTTGAGAATAATAAAATAACGCAGTATATTACATTAAATTTCATTTCTTAATAGAATATTAGAATATTAAAAGTATATATTAAAGATTGATTTTAAATAAGTAACATCTTTAAGTAACATCTTTAAAAAAAGCAATGTCAATAATTCGAAGAAGAAAGCAAATTCCTGCAGAGTATCGCGATAATAAGTATCGTGATAATAAATGACGCTATTATTAAGACAGCACAATGTTTCTTCAAAAAGAAAATGTTGCAATATTCTAATCTCTAGGTTGAATGTGGTGCCGGCGTAGTGAAATAGACAATTCATTCCTAGCAGGCAAATTAATCCGCTAACATTCCACACTAATCACACTCGGTACCTGCTTTGCCCCGCTGTACTCTACTTACGTTGTTTAGACGCCTGGACGATTAAACCGTTTTTTTTATCGCTTTCGCGCGAATTACACACGCGGTGTGTCGAGTAAGCTGAGCGGAATTCAGGACACAATTATGTTATTTGGTTGCTGAAAGAAATTATTATTTATTGAAATCTTAGCAGGAAGTTATCTCGGAGTCTTTACAAGCAAACGAATCTGATATCACAGTATAAGTTTTGTACTACAAGACATATTATATATATGTCAAAATAATAATCGGTTTTGTTTTCCTTAGTTGTATTTATGATAAATATACTATCAAATTTTATGAAAAAGAAAACTTAACAAAAGGAATCACGACTATTTATAAATAAAATATTTATATCTGTTTAGCATGGAATGGGTATACCTTCAGTAAGCATTCTGCTCCATGAAGTTATCAAGCTGATGTACCACGCAAAAGTGAAGGATCCAATTTTCATCAGAATTGGCACTTGCGGTGGTATCGGCCATGAAGGTGGTACGGTAATCATCTCGGAAGAAGCTCTCGATGAAATGATGAAACCTTACATGGAATTGGTTAGTGGTTTTATAAAATCCATATATATAATAAAAAAGAGCGAAAAAAATTCGATAAGTTTAAAGCTTATATGTATAATATATGTTATATTATTGTGTTTTTATTTTTTCTAACTAACTAATTAAATTTTGTCTGCAGACTATGATTTACAATTATGATTTACGATATAAAAGAATTGGGAGAATTAACACTAGAAGTATTAAAGTCTGATTTGTAGTCTTTTTTATAAAAATTATTTAAGGAGGGTACAACATTTTTCGTGATCATTCGGAGATCTTTTTATTTCTACATTTTCTTATGTATTTTCCGTCATGGCTACGAAAAATTATCATAATAGTGACAATTATTATAATAACAATTACCATTGTTATGATAATTTTTAGTTCCTTGAATATAATGGTAGCTGCACACAAAGGAAAATTAGTACATTGAAGTAAAGTTAATGAAATTTTTATTCATCATTACAAAAAATATACATATATATTTTTCAATCACTTAAAAACTTAGTTCAGAGTTGAATCAACAACATGTGTACACTGGACTTGCAAATACCAATTAAGGAAATATCGGAGCAAACATCAATTAGAGTTTAGTTAAACAGTAAAAATTAATTGTCAATAGTTTTAGTATTAAATGATAGTGCGTTGCAGATGGTACTCGGAAAATTGGTGCGCCGACCAGCCAAACTCGACCGGCAGCTAGCTCGCGATCTAAAGGGCTTGGCCCATCGCGATGATCCTTATGACACCGTGATTGGCAAAACTATGTGCTCAAACGACTTCTACGAGGGCCAAGGCCGCCTGGACGGCGCATTCTGTGAATTCACCGAGGCCGACAAGATGGAATACCTCATGAAGTTACAGAAGGCTGGCGTGGTGAACATCGAGATGGAAAGCCTCTGCTTTGCCGCTCTAACACATCACGCTGGCATCCAATCCGCCGTCGTGTGCGTAACGCTGTTGGACCGGCTCAAAGGCGACCAGGTATTTTCGACACTCTAAGCTCTACGAGAGCTCGCGAGAGAATTCTATATGTTATATGCCTTGAACGCGAATTTCGCGTTACGAACAGCGGACTTTCGCGAGTTCATTTGCATTCTCATTTACATGTACTTTGCAAAACTATGACAATTTCACGACGAAGTAAATGCATGTTTTTGTTTGTCGAACACAAAATTATTAATGAGCAAAATATAGCAGTTACATTACAGCTTGCTAATTTATTCAGGCTGTTATCCATAATTCAATATGCGAACAGTCAACGTTATTGTGTGTGTGTGAGTGCTTAATTTTTCTCGAATCAATCGAGAACCACCTCTAAATTATCTTCATAATTTGTAAAGGTTCTGGCGCCCAAAGAAGTGTTGGAAGAATGGCAGATGCGACCGCAGAAGCTGATCGCACGCTATATCACCACGTACCTTCAGCGCAAGGGTCGCCTCTCCCTCGAAGGCTCACACGGTTCCATGTACGTGAAGAGCCCGCGCCGATTCAAACTGGTGCAGCAGGAATCCGAGAATTACGATTAAATGATTCTCAAACAAATCTGAATGTGCAGCCGCGAAGATCTCTCAAGATGCAATGGGACATGTCGCCGTCTGCTCGACTATCGGATGTACTTATGCCGCTCAAGCTGCTGTATCCTGTTTATTTCTCGCGAAAAGTTGATTTATTCGCGAAGAAAGTCGCGTGATAATAGAGTATTGAAGTACAGAAGAGACGAAGGATTTGAGCATAGGAATGGATTTGAACAATTTACATGTCACGCACTACAATACGATGTTTTAGGCGTCTCTCGACAAACGCAATTATTGTAAACGTTTTATTGTGGATAATATTCAAATTGTTCAAATCTGCTTCTTCGTTAATTAAATCTTCCCTTAGATAGATTCCCACTCGAAATATTTAAGAAAAAAAATTTTGTGGATGAGAATACTTCCGGGAACGGTTGACTTGTAACAATTAAATTACGCAGTCTTGTCTTGCATTTTAGAACTGCGCTCCGTTTTATTCGAGTGTTGAAAATCTATAATTCATGTTACGCATGTGCCATAGATTTTCAATAGCCACAGTGAATAATGAAACGCGTGAGTAATGAAACACTTACTGTGCGTATATCGATTTTGTTAAATATTCGATTGAACTTCAAATTAGATTTCTTTTATCAATGAGCTCCTTGTATCCTGCGCGTTCTGTAGATTATTAATAATAATCATAATCAAGAGTATATCATACAGTTCCTCGCATTGCGAGAAAGCACGCCGCCGTTGCGCACACTACGAGAACGCGTTAATTCCTGAGACCTCCAAAAATTAATCAATACCGAAGCGACCGCCAAAGTTGCACTGCTCGTTTCGTGCGGTGATCCAAGTACAAAATGTGCAGAAACTTACTACGAACTGCGCTCGAAAAACAATGCACATTTTCCACGACCACATATCTTTCGAGGCCGGATTGCATCAGTCTTGATCAACGTGATCTTTGATCGTAACTAAAAATATTGTCTTTCGATCTATAATCATTAAATATAATTGAATCGTTAACTTAAATTCTTGCTGTTCGAAACAATAAAAAGTACATCCAAAATGTTTAAACAGAATTACGATCGCTGTTATACAATAAGGAAATTATTTGGAGGGCGTTAGTCAAAATGATGCAATCGGTATCGCGTAGAGATTTAATTTTAGGATTCGCTGACAAGAACGCTGCAACACGCGTTTACGCATTCGCCGATAATGCACGACGTTTGGACGATTTTTTTCTTTTACTCGTTAAACGAGGGACGATGATTCTCTCGTAAATCTTCAGGGATTTGTATTGAGAAATTAGACGAAATCCGCTAACGGACCTATATTTCGCGATTTTATTACGAGGCTTGCGTGTTGCGCCGAGAGCAGTTTCGAGAGAACCTGTAAATTTAGCTACGCGCGTCCGCCGGCGTGTAATGTACGCACCCGGCGACGTGGAATCTATGTATTAGCACTTTTAGCAGTTGGATAGGAAAGCACATTCCATATATGAAAGAATTATATATATATATAAAAATATAGTCAAACAACTAGCGCGTTTTCGTTCGACTGTTACTCGTGTAACGTGGGCGAAGACTATGTACATACACATACACGCAATATACATATAGATGTCGGGAACACATTCGCAAAAATGCCCCAAACTGCATGGAGATTGGATTAGGAATTACAATAAAAGTAACGTTTCAACACATTGTCTAACAAATTATATTCTCCTCGTATGCGTTCCGGAATATTGAAACTCAGGTGCCTAAGAAAGAAGGAAAAAATGCTTAATAAATAATATCTCTCTACAATCTTGATCCTCAGTTTCCTGCTGTGTATACGTTATAATAGAGCTAAAATGAGAATGGCCGTCGATTTGTCATAAACAATGTAATTGTTATGCAATAACTGCAATAACGTACGTATATATTTGATACTTTTCTGTACGTATTAGTCAAAATTGATCAGTAAATGCAGCATTCGTGATTTTAAATGTTAAATACAATTTTGTTTAAAAATTTTAATAAAACAGGGAAGATTTTCAAATTTTTCTATTACATCAAGAAAAAGAAGTTGCGCAAGCTTAATAGCCATTAATTATTCGTAATATTTCCAGAACAGTAGATAAATTTCTGATACATAAAAATTATAACAAACGTTTTCGTATAAACTAAAAAAAATACTAAATTTGTTAATATAAATATTTGTTTGAATAATTATAAGTAAATATTTACTAAATAAATGTAAATATATATTTATTTTTGCTATAAAAATTGTTAATTTAATTTAACTATTAATTTTTTTATTAAGTAAATATATATTTTCTGTAAGTAAATGTTTACTTAGTACCAACTATTTAAAGAAATATTAAGATAATTTAATAATTTTTTCAGTGTAAATATTTAAAATTTATGTCCTATTATGCATATAATAAAATTAAAACGAAAAATATATTAATCGCGAAACAAACATTATAAATACAAAGAAATGTAATTATTGCAAAGAAATTATTAATTAAACTACGAAATATGATCTCTATAACAAGGCAATGTGCGACGATAATTTTAATAACAGCGATACTTCATCCACATGATTGGACAAAATACTATTAAAATGTATTTTAATTCAAAATAGAAATTTCTAATTATCCCGTAACATTTTATACTTTACAACGAAGTAAGACGTTATTAAAAATATGAAAATTCAAATACAGAATATAAAATACAAAGCAATATTTTGCACTTTCTCATGATTTCGTATCAATCATAACGCGAGACTTTCTGCGTATTAACGAAAAAATACTGCCTAGTCCTGAGCGCCCACGTTACGTCTTGTTCGTTATTATGATTAATATTCCGTTACCTAGTAGATAACAAAATTGTATAGTATTGTGTGATACATCTTTATTATAATGATATTAAGATGATTGTTAGCCGGTGCGTACAATTTGCCTTCGTCGTTCACATTCATTGCGACGCGAGGAGTTGCGAATACGTAATATCAATCGTACTAATAGTGAATAATTGTGAAATAGTGTGGAATTTTCCTATTTTATATTTTGTTAAATTTTGGCATATTGATGGCAAACGAACAAATTTGGCAATACTTTCATAGTTTTTTCTTTGACTTACCCGCAACATGTACTCTGAGATTTACTTTCGATTATTTTTATATGTCCAAAATAAAATGTACAAAATATTCCGAGAAAGTTTTGCACGAATAGCAGGGTACTCACTTTTATTATCTTCACGCGTAAATTTTATTCAAGTTCGTCCTCTATGAATTTTTAGAATTGAATTCAGGACAACAATGGTTCACTTTTTCGAAAAAATTAATCTTTTAATTGAAAAAATTAATTAAATTTCTCTTTGAAAAGCAATATAATCATCGTTCAATCATTTACTTTAATCTTTTTGTCAATGCATAATTTTTCACTTTTTCATTAAGTAAGTTTTATAATATTCCTGTTAAAAATGTAAAAATGAAAATGAGATAAAATCTGTGCAAAACTGTTCTTTATTATTCGAAGGGTAAGGTTTTTGAGAGAAACGTTCGTTAAAGAAATTATAATGAAATTTTCACAAAAACATAAACATTTTTACTGTTTAAAATTCGGATATACATTTCGTAGTACGTTTTTAGAGAAGAATCCTTTAGGAATAAAGTCTTGCTATTAAATTTTTCGTGTTCTTTAGAAAACAAATTGATCACCTGAAAGATCACATAAAATCCTTTATTTTAATGATTAAGGATGGGTAATTATAAATTTTTGGTAAAAAAATCATTTTGAAACATGCTTCTAAAAAAAAGGACACGAACCTTTTGAGAATAAACGCTATTTTTCTCGTGATCCTTAAAAAACAAAATTAATCATAACGTGTAATCCTTTAATTAATAGATGAATAATTATAAATTTATAGCAAAAAACCATCTCGAAATACGTTATTCAAGGAAGAATCGAATCTTTTGGAAATGAAGTCTTACTACCAGTGCGTATCATTCTTGGGACAACCGGTATATTCTCACCGAATTCTTGCTATCGCCTTTCGCGTTTCTTTTCGTTCCACGAACAACGACATATCTGTGATGCGTACTTGTAACGTGTACGAGGAGTATTAACAAAATGTACCTAACATTGATACGTAAAATGTATGTATATTCGTGTGACGATTTTATCTATTTTCCTCGCGAGTGCGTAATGGCTATTTCTCTACTTACAATGTTATAAATTACTCTGTAAAACCTTCGTTGTTATCCCTCCCTCCCTTGCATATAACTATATATACACTATTGATCTATTATGTCTCGTCGAAAGATATCGGCCGGACGTTCTACATTGTAAATTTGTTAATAATCAGCTATCTAATTGTATTATCACTGTAAACCTGTTATTTATATACTAACCCACAAGATATTTAACGTGTCCTTTTAAAAACTAATTCCTGGCACATGGGTTACATAAAAAGAAGGAAAACAAGAAAGAAAAAAGAAATACTATTGTTGATTGTACGTTATAAAAGGACAATAAAAAAATATTATGTACTTGACAGTGTTAATTTGTATTTCTTTCCTGAGGAAAATAATCGGATTCAACTAGAAAATTGCCTATTATATCTAACTGAAAGTGTGACATAACGCGGGCTGTGAGGAGGTAAAATGCATATTTATGAAATAATGCACAAACAAACTTGTGTCTGGAGATGGATATTATATTTTGTAAATGTTAGGATAACGGAAGTGGTATTACGCAGGACTTTGCAAGTTCTTTGACAATCGCTCGTCTCTTTGACAGACTTATGGTAGACGTTTGAAGATCAGTTTTCACTTTAAGTGCCGATCGATGATCCAATTCGGTCTCTAGCTTCGTCCCTCGTGGAAAATCCGCATATCAAAACCAACAGAAATAGACAGACGTGATATACATTCCAAGAAAAGTCATATTTAATCTCTTAATATCGTCAAGGAAACTATAAGAATAATTCAGAATTCGAACTTAACTGATTTTTTTTATCATCTTACTTAAAAAAAAAAAAAAAGGAAATATACACGTAATATATACGTATATATATGTAATATGTATTGACG